TTTTATTATTTTCTAGCTTAAAATATTTCCAAATTTTCCTTCTGACTTTTTTGAGCTGTGTATTATTTAGAGGTGCACTTCCAAATATTTGGATTTGGGTTTTTATAGCTTCTAGCTCAAGATTCTTAAGTTTACTGTGGCCACAGATCATACTCAGTATTATTCCAATCATTTTAAACTTATGTAGACTTGCACTCTAGCCCAGCAAGTCTTTTGGTAAGAATGCGAAGTGCCCTTGAAAAGAATAGGTGCCCTGCAGTCACTGAATATAATATTCTATAAAGAACAATTAGATCAGTTGATAATTAGTGATATTCATACCATGTACCTATCAACAAACTGAAAGATCTGTTACATCAATCACTAAAAGAGGAATGTTAAAATCTTCAACTGTTACTGTGGATCTATTTCTTCCTTGTTATTTTTTTAATTTTATTTTTTATATTAGTTAATATGCAATGCAATTTTGGTTTCAGAAGTAGAATTCAGTGATTCATCACTTACATACAACACCCAGTGCTCATCACAAGTGCCCTCCTTAATACCCACCACCCACCCCCCTCCATCAACCTTCAGTTTGTTCTCTATCATTAAGAGTCTCTTGTGGTTTTTTTCCCTTTCTTCTCTTTCCCCGCCCATTCCCATACGTTCATCTATTTTGTTTCTTAAATTCCACAAATGAGTGAAATCATATGATACTTGTCCTTCTCTGACTTATTTCGCTTAGCGTAATACATTCTAGCTCCATCCAAACTCTTTCCAGGCCTTGATTCCAAAACCAAAGGCCCCACAAAAAAGAACTACAGGCCACTATATCCCTGATGAACATGGATGCAAAAATTCTCAACAAGATACTAGCAAATCAAATTCAACAGTACATTAAAAGAACTACTCCCCATGACCAAGTGGGATTTATTACTGGGCTGCAGGGTTGGTTCAATAGTCACAAATCAATCAACATGATACACCACATTAATAAAAGGATAAAAGAACCATATGATCCTCTCATAGATGCAGAAAAATTTTGACATAATAAATATATTTGACAAAATACAGCATCCATTCTTGATTAAAAAAAAAAAACCCTTAGCAAAGTAGGGATAGATAGAACAAACCTCAATAAAGTAGGGATAATATAACATACCTCAACATCATAAAGGCCGTATACAAAAGACCCACAGCTAATATCATCCTCAATGGGTAAAAACTGAGAGCCCTTCCCCTACAATAGGAACAAGACAAGGATACCCACTCTCAACATTACTATTTAATATAGTACTAGAAATCTTAGCCTCGGTAATCAGAAAACAAAAAGAAATAAAGGGTATACAAATCAGCAAGGAAGACAAACTGTCACTATTTGCAGATGACATGATACTCTAAGTAGAAAACCTGAAAGTCTCCACCAAAACCTTGCTAGAACTAATGCATGAATTCAGCAAAGTCGCAGGATATAAAATCAACGTGCAGATATCTGTTGCATTTCTGTGCACCAATAACGAAGCAATAAATCTAAAGAGGTAAAAATTCTGTATTCCAAAAACTGTCGAACACATATGAAAGGTATTGAAGAGGACACACACAAAAAAATGGAAAAACATTCCATGTTCATGGAAGGAAGAACAAACATTCCTTAAGTTATTTTAATACTTCATATGTTTTGTATCTTATTTTTAGGATCATAACTAACTTATGAATGTTATATCTACATTATAATCAAATGTTTCTTAATCTGGTATTACTTCATTTTATCTCTGACATTAAATATGGCTATTTCAGTCTTCTAATGTATAGTTTTTCCTCTCTTTTTCTATTAATTGATTGTCAACTTATCAGTATCTTTTTCTTTGTAGGAAATTTCTTAAGACCCAAATGTTTGCTGTCTCTACCTATTCTGAAAATCTTTGCATTTTAATTATTTAGTCACTCACATGTAATGCACTTATTGATTAGGGCTACTATTTTCCTATTTGTTTCCTTTTTTCCTCATCCCTTTCTGTTCCCCTATTCTTCCATCTCTGCCCTTTGGGGTTTGTTTTCTGTTTGTTTTAGAATTTTATTTTGGCTATATCTTTTTGCATATTATTTAATGGTTTTTCTAGTCAGTGCTGTCCAGTAGATCTTTCTTTCTGTGGTGATGAAAATGTTATATAATTTGAAATGGGCAACAGTCACTAGCTACATGTGGCTACTGAACATCTAAGATTAGATTAATGTATTTGAGGGACTGAATTTTTTATTTTAGTTTTAAGTAGGTTTACATAGCCACATGGTGTTACTGTCTATCATACTCCAAAACACAGCTATAGAAAGGTAAGAAGTGACTCGACTGAAAATAAGTTTAGTGTACCTCATTATAAACTGAGGGCATATTAATGTTTTCTATAATTTAAAAGACAGTAAAATTAAACCCCAAAAGAAAGCAGAATCCTTAGGGAATAATATTTGTAACTACAAGCTAAGCACTAAGGATGTTTGTTTGCTAGGAGCTATTTCTAGATCTTTCAGTTCATAGTTTATAAGAGTATACAATTTTTTTTCACAGAAATTAACCATTAGTTTATACTGACATTTCTATTTCAAAGTACAATAAGTTAATCAAATCCCAACTTTAATTAAAGTCACATAGATTGACATACCATTATACCATTTGCTTACCCCATGTGGTAGAGCTGTCATATATGTTACCTCTAAGTATAAAATAAATCCCACTATATATGGCATTGTTTTCTTTTAAACAGTCCTATGTACTAACAAGAAATTAAAAGAAAAACAACAGGCTTTTATACTCACTCACCCGCTTGCAATTTCTTTTTAATGTGAAAATTCAAATACCCAACTGGTATCCTTGTCCTTCAGCCTGAAGAAATTCCTTTAGTGTTAAATAAAACACAGGTCTGCTGTAAAATACTTTCTTAGCCTTTAAAAGTTTATTTCACTTAAAAAAAATTTTTTTTTGGATATTTTTGCTGGATATAGAATTCTAGGTGGACTGGGCTTTCCCCTTTCATCAAAGATATTCTATTATCTTCTGGCCTCCACAGTTTGCAATGAGACACCCGCAAACTTTTTTGTTGTTCCCTGTATGTATGATTTTCTATGGCTTCTTTCAAGATTTTCTCTTTCTCTTTAGTTTTCAGCAGTTTGTATGTCTATAAGTGGGCCTTGCTGTGGTTTCCATTGTATTTTCATTCTTTGCATATTCTTCCTTGAGATTCACTAAGTTTCTTGATCTTTAAGTTTACATTTTTTAAGATGTTTAGAAATTCAGCTTTTGTTCAAATATTTTTCTATCCCACTTTCCTTCTCCTCCATTTGATACACCAACCAAACATATTAAATTTTTAGATGAGGTCTCACAAAAATTACTTCAAATAAAAGGTATTTACTTCTAGAATTTAAGTTTTTATTTATTTTGAGAGAGACAAAGACAGCATGGGTTGGGGAGGGGGAGAGAGAAAGGGAGGGAGGGGGAGGAGGAGGGAGGGAGAGAGGGGGAGAGAGGGAGAGAGGGGGAGAGAGAGAGAGAAAGAGAGAGAGAGAGAGAATCTCAAGCAGGCTCTGAGCTGCCAGTACAGGGCCTAAAGTGGGGCTAGAACTCACAAAACCATGAGATCATGACCTAAGCTGAAACCAAGAATCAGACGCTTAACTGACTGAGCCACCCAGGCACCCCAGATCTAGAATTTCTATCTGGTTCTTTTATATAGCTTCTATTTCTCTATTATAATTTCCAATTTGTTCATTTATTACAAGCATATTTTCCTTTACATGCTACTTATAACAACTTCTTCAAAGTCCTTGATAAATAATTTCAGTTTAATCATCATTCCTAATCTACTAGATGCCTTTTTCTGGGTAAGAATCACATTTCTCTTATTCTTCATATGTCTAGTAATTATGGATGATAGCCAATATACTATGAAAGGTATATTCCCCAACGCTGATTTTAATTTAGCAGTTAACATGGCAAATTCAAACTCTAAACTCTAACCTCTGCGGTAAGATTATCTGATATCAGTGAAGTCCAAGTTCAGGAGACAGTCTTAACATCTGGACCGTATGAACACAGAGTTTAGGTGCCCCCTAGGTACTTCTCTACTTTCTAGAGACCTCCTTCCATTTTCCAGCTTCTCTTCTGCTTCTCTTCTGCTAAACCTTCTCTTCTGCTTTTTCAAACTTGTTAGAGTATGGATTTCTATCTGTGGGGCACCAACTGGTACCTGCCCTCAAGCAAAAGTCTGTTAAATCCAGAATTTCAAACAGTATCAATCTTTTCATCTACATAGTGACTCACCTCCATCTTTTCCCCTCTATTTAGCCATTCCAGTACTTTTAACTAGTTGATTTTTTAAGCCATTTTTCCTGAGTTTATGTTTCTACCGGAAAGAACTAGCCTACCATTATAGAAAGTAGAACTTAATTTTTTAAGATTATTTTATGACATCCACTGAAACTTTCCCAGGCTCCCATAAAGTCAAAGACAGGAATCATCGAATAACTTCAGTGAAATTCGCAAACATGTCAACTATATAAAAGCCACTGAATTATAATAGAACATTGTATAGGTGCTTCAGAATTTCTTTTTTGGCACATTTCTCTAAAGGATAGCATCTTTTCTTCACCCACCCCTGCTTCAAATAATCCTGAAAATTTTCTATTAGATTTAAACCAAAGGGCAAAAGCTTACTTATCTTTTTTTGCTTTGGTTGATTGGTTTGTTTCAGGGTTTTTTGAGAGAGTTTGTTTTTTCATAGCATGTCTGGTATATATCACTCTTTATTAAGAGAAAAATGACAGTAAAAATATTGTGAAAGGAAAACATCCTTGAAAAATATAACTCCCATGGAACACTGGTAGTTCTAGCCACTTATTTTGAAAACAAAAATTAGAAATGAAAAAAAGAAGAAGAGAAACTGGAGAAGCTGGTGATTGTAACCGAATATAGATAAAGTCTAGATGAAGTAATTTCTGATAGAGATACTCAAATAATTTCTTACCTTTTGACAGCTCCGGTCAATAGGATCCACTGGAGTAGATCTGGGATGGGTTACTCTAACATCATCTCTTCCACATTCCAGATTGGTCCATAATTCAGTTATAAGTGCATTAATAAACCCTGAGAAGAATTATATACATATTTACAGTATACAATTTCTTGGAATTATGGAAGAAAGATATAATTATCCCTCTGACAAGACTGGTTCTCACTGACAAAAGACACATACTTACATCTTCTGTAGGAAATAACCTTTAAACTTAGTAGAAATTATATCTCCTGTTGTTAATTATACCTATATGATACCTCATTATCCTAAAACTATATAATGACTAAATTCTGAGAGACCATTTCCCTAAAGAACTGAATTTTGAGTCTCTGGATTTATCACTTGGCCAATAACGTCTCACCATGCTTTTCTGAAAAATAAGGTTTACCCTTTACTCTTCGAGTGAGAAAGGCAGCTGAAAGGTGGTATGTGTTTGTATGTATATGTGTATGTTGTGTATCAGGAGGCAGGGTAGGCACTTAAAAGAGTTTAAGTGTGTTCCTTATTCTAAATAACTGTTTTTATAATTCCTATGCTGAAAACAATTCTTCATTTCACACAATTTTGGCTCAATACAGTCTAAATTCTGAATCAGGTACTATATATCTAAATGAAAGTGATTATTAAGGCTGATTATTATTTTATGAAGAATCAAATTACATTTTTAAAAAGTGTAAAACAGAACACCTAATCATAAAATCAGTAAATTCATAATAACATTAGAACAGAAAGGTTCCTCTGGTATAACAGGAAAAAAAAAAAAAGCTCTGAAATCAAGAATATCAGGGATCAAATTACAAATATGCAGGCTTAGTAGTCGTGTCCTTAGATTTGTTCAACTTCTTAGAGCATCAGGTCCCCTGTTGGAAAACTGAAACAGTGCTATTTTCGAGGGTTGCCATGAAGTATAAATGGGACAATACATATGAAGTTCCTAACATAGTACCCTAAGAGATCATAGGAATTCAACCAATGTTAATCTCCCTTCCTTTGTCCTGTAAAATTATTGCAATTAATCCTCTCACGGGTAGCTTGACACTATTGGGCTCAGAAGCTTAATGACTTGACCAACAGGGAAATCTGAGATTGTACCTCCAAATGCTTCCACTAATATGCCCCTGAGTATAGCAATATGTTAGATTTTACACTAAGTAGAAGAAAAAATAAGTCGTTCAGTTTAGGACAACTTCTTCCAAGAAGCACGTTTCATAATACAAGTACTCCAAATTAGCTTAGCCGAAAAGTTTTTAAGATATATTATAGTAAAATATTTTCACTTAAGGAAAGGACCAATTATGGTCAGTGATGTTCTAGTTCATCAACACTAAACTTTGAAAAATATAACCATAACATCTCTATTGGAAGTTATGTCTTGTCTCTCTGGTCTAGGGTTCAGATAGCCTTAAGGTATATTAAATTCCCAATGTTTAAACTCTTAAAAATTCAATCCATTGTAGATAATACATGCTGACTGCAAATACAGTGGTAAAAGTGGTGAAAACTAAGCTTTCAAGGGCAAAAGAGAAAGAAGAAGAAGAAGGAAATAGTATGTATGTATGATAATTATTGTGGTTGTGTATATTTTGATGCATATACAGGCCACTAAAACTGAGCATTAAGAAATCATGTAAGATTTAAGAGGGAAAAAAAATCTTGTAAGATTCAACTGTACTGAAAGAGGATTTATAAGATGAAGACAATTGCTTAAGCATCAAGTACTTCTCAGTTTAATTCATTATGTTCCATTGTTCTGAGGAAAAGAGAACAAGGCTGTGTATATATACTTCAAGGGAAAAAAAATCCCATTGCAATTTCATGGAAGAGAAAAGATAAAGGAAACCTTGTAACTTTCCCTTACCTAAGGCCAAACCTGCGAAAAAGAACTTTACAGAGTAAATATCCTGAGAGCTGATCATGCCAGTTAAATTTTCTATTGGCTTGCTCATTTTATTTAAAATTATTAACATTCTGATTAAAAGAAAAAACCTACCTGAACTTTGTAGTGCCACTGCACCTGCTGCTGTTGATGACACTTGTGTAACCAAAACTCCGTAGCCAAACTTTTTATGCCTGCTGATCTAACAAAATGAATAAGGAACAATGAAAAGCAGGAAAACATAGGGGGCGCCTGGGTGGCGCAGTCGGTTAAGCGTCCGACTTCAGCCAGGTCACGATCTCGCAGTCCGTGAGTTCGAGCCCCGCATCGGGCTCTGGGCTGATGGCTCAGAGCCTGGAGCCTGTTTCCGATTCTGTGTCTCCCTCTCTCTCTGCCCCTCCCCCAATCATGCTCTGTCTCTCTCTGTCCCAAGAATAAATAAACGTTAAAAAAAATAAAAAATAAAAAATAAAAATAAAAAGATAAAAAAAAAAGAAAAGCAGGAAAACATAAAATGCTAATATTTTATTTATATGTTACATGTAGGTTACTGATTCTTCTTTTTAGAATACTAGACATTCTTTTAAGTAAACATAATGAGCAGCAAAACAAACTCAGACACCCTGTCAATGAGTTAATATTTTGGGGGTTCTCATTTCAGATAGAGGTTCTGGTCCCAGCTGTAAAATTAAGTAGCGTTTTGCTTTGAACAAGTCACTTCCCTCTCTAGGTTAAAACAAAGGACTTTGACCATGATGAAGATTAACATTCCTTCCAAATTTAAATGCTGTTATTTTATTCCTTAGGTCAGTCCCTGAATATTAAATTTCCTCGCATATAAATCTGTATTGACTGTCAGCCAAACTATACTCTTAATTTAAAAAAAAAAAAAACTTAAAAAAATAATATCTTCTCAATGGCAATCATTTTTAGAGGAAATGTGATTTTTTTCCCTAAAGTAATTATATATATATTAAACACACAAAGAATACTGATCATTAACATACAAGTTTATAAATAGTGTTGTAGAAAACACTGGACAATTTGCATGTCACAAAGAGTACTATACATGTATTCCTGGTAAAGTACACAAGGATCACTCCTGGCAGAAAACAATACAGAAATAACAGAAAATAAACAGTGTTCCTCCTTAGATCTTAGCTAAGACCAGGTTGGCTAATAAAATTGTTGATATCTAAACAAAGTTAACCATTCACAATTTGTATTTTTCAACATTTCATTAAAAGAATTGATTTTTTAAAAAAGGACCTGTTTTAATCAAATTTTTAAGATATAAACTGTGCATTCAGTCTTGAAGGCAAAAAAAAAAAAAAAAAAAAAAAAAAAAAAAAGTAGACAAGGAACTAAAAGCCCATGGGAAAGAATTAGACTGGATTTTCTATTCAGGTCTCCATTTGTTTGCCTTCCTTTTCCATTTTTATTACTCATATTTTCCACTTTCCTTTAACCTGCCATACATTAGTTTTGTAGTTAGATGACAGAGAGGTACAAAAATATGAATGGCTATTTTTTTTTCCCCACTCTCCTTCCATAATAACTAAATAAATACCTTACTGATCAATCAATCCCATTGACCCTGCTGACTTAGATATCAGCAGCCACAGGGGCTTCCTAGATTCACACTAAGTACTGAAAAGTAAGAGGCAAAGAAAAACTTCATAGAAGTTAGAGATGCTTTACTAAGACTCAGCTTTCATGAAACACAAATTTGAGTTCGAGTCTTACTGCTGTAAGTAGATGTGAGAGCATGTGCAGATCAGTTAACAGGCCTGGGTCTCTACTTTCTCTTCAGCAAAATTAAGGAAATGGCCTAGTGGCTTTCTTACAAGATAATGGAGAATTTAAATTTTCAAAAAATTTCTTGAATAGCATTAAGCACCATTAAACTATTGTATTATATTACAAGGTTGTAAGTTACTGAGGTTCAGGGAACAGTGTCTTCTATTATAACAACCAGTGTGGTACAAAGACTAGGGTTGTTTTTTTTTTTTTTATATTCATAAATGTTAAAACAGAGACATCTATTCCTAGCCGTATTATCACAATAGCAATAGTTGTGTATGCACAGTCTCAGGCATCTGATAAGTGTCTTTGAATTGCTTCAATATTTTCAAAAATGTAAAAAAACAAAACAAATGGCTAACTAGTACACAAGGTGATTCAAACTCACCAACAGAGAAATTCAAATTAAAATGGCCATATATGTAAACTTAAAAATCCTGAGAAACTTCAGGATTTACTATAGTCTGAATGTTTGTGTCACCTCCAAATTTCGTATGTTAAAATCCTAACCTCCAAAGGTGAGATAGTAAATGGGACCTTGATTTGGTCATAAGGTGGAGAGAACTCATGAATGGGATTAGTGCTGTTATAAAAAAGATCCCAGAGAGCTCCCGAGCCCGTATCCATGTGAGGATACAATGAGGCATCTGTGACCAGAGAGGGCCCTTCTCTGACCACATTGGCATCCTGATCATGGACTTCCAGCCTCCAGAACTGAGCAGTAAATTTCTGTTTATAAACCACCCAGTCTATGGTATTTTAACAGCCCAAATGGACTAAGACAACATTCTACAAGATATATACATATCCCAGGATATTACACATATTAAAAACATTAGCATGGAAGTCTGGGGTAGAGGAATACACACAGGGTGAAATGGAACTGTGAACCAGAAATGACAGGGAATAAAATTAATTAAGACAACATCTTGCATGGACAAATGACAGCAGTATGCCATAAACTGAGGCATGTAAATAAGTTCTCTATACTTGAAGCCCATTTAAATAATAATTAAAAACACATCTGCTCATATAAACCTTATGTCAAACTGATGAACTAATGCTCATAGGTTTTATTTGTGAGGAATGGTCAGGACCGTCTCTCAAAAACTACTTACCTTCACAGGCAAAAACTCTTAAGTTTTTGTTTTTATAGACTTAAACAAAAGCAGGGAATTAGAACTGAAGAACAAATAAAATCGTATTTACAACCTGGTAACCTAGTAACATCAATATACAACAGCTGTGAGAGACAAAGAAGACACTTTTAAAAGCATACATATAATCCTAAAAAGCCCAAAAGTTCAGGAATGTTTACACCATCACAGCAAAAAGCTGAACACACCTTAATGGACTTAAGAGAAAGGGCTAAATTATACTGTACATTTTATTTAACAGTATCTAAAAATTAATCTACAAATATTTTTCTTTTTAATGTGAGGACCAAATTCTTACTAACGTGTACATTTAGACCCAATAGTGAATTTCCTCCTCCTGAAATTCCACCCAGCTTTAGTACAACCAGATGTTTGTTATATTTATAACACATCTGGATGGTTAACTATATTTTTCAATTCCATCTGGTTGTTTCCCATCCTGTAAACATATCCATAGATACCAACATCAATTCTAATGCTTTCCTGAAATAATATCAAGTTAAATATTACAATGCTATATGGTTTTTTAATTGAGGTTTAATAACCTCTTCACTCAGAGAAGACAGAATGATGTTCTTAATAGCTTTTACAGCAAGAAAAATTCTTTTTGCCTCTAGCAGATGGTAATTCATACCTGTAATTTTTTTGCATATCGGTTGAACATAAATGTCAGACATTCATTGATGGCACCTGTTCTTTGAAGAAATAGTAGTCCTTTGGGAGTGGCAGCAAAATTTAGTAAATCATCTAACAAATTCTCTTCCCAAGCCATACTGAAACAAGCAAAAGAAAGGTATGCAGTTCTTTATTATACTCAAAACTAAAAGAAAATATTTCAGCTTAATGTTGTTGATAAACTTAAAGGGTACATATTGAGCACTAAGTATTCAATATTTTTAAAAAACAGATTTAAAAAAGTATGCTTTCCTTGATAATAATGACTTTTATTGTATTTTCTGCCCAATAATTTTCTTTCACTTTAATTAAATATTAACTGCATGTGTCAGCATTTTTTTTTACACCTAGATTCTCTCATCTGTGCTTTAAATTCTTTCTCTTCTCTTCTTGTAATTCTGCTGGGCTGGGAGTCCCCAGGCCCCAACTCTCCATTATTTTCATACTTTTTATTTTTTTTTTCAAGTATGTACATATGTATGTATCTATGTATGTGTATGTATGTATTTACTTAGAGACAGTGCAAATAGGGGAAGGGCAGAGAGAAAGGGAGAGAATTCCAAGCAGGCTCTGTCCTGCCATCACAGAACCTAATGCGGGGCTTGAAGCCATGAAACCACGAGATCATGACCTGAGCCAAAACCAAGAGTCAGACACTTGACCAACTAAGTCACCCTGCCTCCCCTATATTTTCTTTTCATTACAGAGTATCTGTCCTCTAACTTTCCAAAGCGTATCAGGCATAGTATCTTTATTTTAATAGGTTTTTCATTTTACTTTTGGAGAATAACATTGTTTTTTTTTCTCAAAACACTTTTAAAAGGAGGGCCAGTAACATTCTCCCCAGAAAAAGTTTGAAACATTCAGAAGACACAGTTAAACAGGGGAGCCAGAGCTAGAAATATGGAAACACAGGAGGGGAAATGAGCACTTCATTTGAAGTACCAGAAAGAGAAAATGTACTCCCTACTGGATATTCCTAGTTGTCTAGAAAGAAACTTTGTATATAAAAACAGACCAAAAATTAATTATTGACATGTATAGTAAAACAGTGAATCTGTAGAAGTGTGCCATTTACCCACCAAGGAAGTTTCAGAAGTCAGTTTTGAAAATGATTGTAAAATAACTTGAAATCCAGGACTTTTCTCTCTTTTCTAATCAAAAAGAGAATAAGCCCGTGTTTTGACACACATCCCTCTGCACCAATCACAGAGTAGTGGCCAAAGATTCAACCATGTTTAAATAACAAATTCCATCATGGACAGAAACACACAGAAGTGAGGATCTAATTTTAAGGTAAATGCAGGCAATGGAAACTAAATTTAGTACCAGTAAGATACAAAGGACTAGAGGAGTCACACATCAGATACAAGACCAGTGCTAGCCTCACTGCTTAAGACCTACGACTGGGTGAGACTAATAGAAATAATATATATTTAACTCAAGTATAATTTACATACTTAAAAATATTATATGTAACAAAATACTTATGTATGTATAACAAGGTCTAAAACTGGGGCTTTTGACAGAAGCTTTTGTCCCAGAAGCCTAGGACAACAGGAAGACACAGATAAAGCCTCATTTCTAGAAATGAGCATATGATCAATTTATATTCTAGTTCTTCAGTTGTAGCTATACTATCCACATCATCAGCGACAGGAGCCTCAAAATACCAATACAAAATGTATTTAAAACATGACAGTAAAAGAGAAAAACCATAAAACTGCTTGGCAGGGAGAAATGAACATAGAAATATAAGTGGGAAGAAACAATAAGGGAAGAGGAGAAAGAAAATAGGGAAGGAAACAAACGAAAAGACTGAATAATGAACTCCCAATCAAACTCTGAGAGAGATCTAAAGCTTATCACAATACCCTCCAGTTCCATCCACATTGTTGCAAATGGCAAGAGGTCATCATTTTTCATTGCTGAGTAATATTCCACTGTATGTATGTATGTATACATACGTAACATGCTGTATGTGTGTATACAAACACACACACACACACACACACATCTTTAACCATTCATCAGTTGAAAGTATTGTGCTAAGCAAAATAAGTCAATCAGAGAAAGATATATGATTTCACTCATGTGCAAGTTGAGAAACTTAACACAGGAACATAGGGGAAGGGAAGTAAAAATAAGATAAAAACAGAGAGAGGTAAAATGTAAGAGATTCTTAAATACAGAGAAAAAACTGAGGGTTGATGGGGGTGGGGATTTGGGGATGGGTGGGTTAAATGGGTGATGGACATTAAAGAGGGCACTTTTCGGGATGGGTGTTATATGTAAGAGATGAATAACTGGGCTCTACTCTCCTGAAGCCTAGAGTACACTGTATGTTAACTAACTTGAGAATTTAAAAAAAGATATCTAAAGCTAAGAGCTAGCAGAATTGACACTTATCAAATGAATCCATTCCAGCTGAAATAATTTTCAGAAATGACTAAAATAAATTTATGATACTCAAGGGAAGTTTTTAAAGTGTTTCTGTTAAAACTGAAGCAAAAAGCAAAAGGGAAATAAAAACAAGTACATTTTTTAAAAAAGAACCATTGGAAATTTTGGAAATAAGAAGCATAGCCACTTATCAGTCACAGTCAAAGAATTATTGAATTGGATAGTAGATAGGTAGGAAATGTTTAAGAAAACAGATGACAAACAGAATAAAGACTGACGGGGCGCCTGGGTGGCGCAGTCGGTTAAGCGTCCGACTTCAGCCAGGTCACGATCTCGCGGTCCGGGAGTTCGAGCCCCGCGTCAGGCTCTGGGCTGATGGCTCAGAGCCTGGAGCCTGTTTCCGATTCTGTGTCTCCCTCTCTCTCTGCCCCTCCCCCGTTCATGCTCTGTCTCTCACTGTCCCAAAAATAAATAAACGTTGAAAAAAAAAAAAAATTTAAAGACTGAAAGGCCTCAAAACACATCTAATAAAAGCAGTAAAAGAGAAACAAAGGGATATACGAAAAGATACTAAGAATTTTCTAGATTTGAGGAAAGACACCAGTCCAGTCTATAGATTGAAAGAACATTCAAAGTACCAAGCAGGATAAACTCAAATCACACAAATGACAAACATCCAAAATACACACACACACAAAAGCAAAAAACAAACAAAAACCACAATCAAATTAAAAGATAGGAGAAAGGATATGACCTATAAGAGAAATGTGAGTATACTAACAGATTTTTTCAGTTACTACTTATTCCAAAAGAAAACGGAGTAATAGCTTCAAATACTGATGAGAAATAATTGTGTATCAAAAGTTTTATACCCAGATAAACTATAAACTACCCTTTAAGAGGGGCAGTTTAGATAGGAGTGGGTTGCATGGATTGGAGGGGAAATGGTCAATTTCAGACATAAAGAGAAGACTAGTTTACTTCTCTCAAACCCTTAAAGAACAATTAAAGGAAAAGTATTTGGAAACTTACTATGGGGGAAAATGTGAGCCTATGAGAAAGAATGAGCCACAGGTTTCAACAAACAGCAAAAAACAGTAAATGTCTATAAATTTAGTAACTGACTGAAAAGAAAAATTAGGTGCTTCAAATAAGAAAACAAAGTAAGGTTTTTTAAGCAAAGACAGATTTGGGTTTTAAATAACCCTGTACTGTATCACAAAATCTCACCCAACATAAAAGGATACATATCATGCAATCCAGTTCCTCTGAAAATATAAATTAATTAGAAGTCAACAGTTAAAAAAATATATTAGTAAAAATAACTGTTTGGAAACAACTGTATTGAAAACATTTCATGGGTTAAATAGTAAAATCAAAATAAAGTTTTTAAAATATTTAAAAGAGCTTAATATGAAAGTACTACATATCAAAATGTATTAAAATTAGCATGGCTGAGGTGCATTGCTTCTTTCAACATCCATTCTCATTCCCCTTTTCATTTACTTTCCTGTACTACAGAAGTGAGGAAAGGAGAGAAGATGCAAACAGCATTAGTAAAACCCAAACCTGGTCTTTGCATAATCTAATACAATAAAGTAATCAAGGAAGGAAAACAGCCATAAAAATACTAAGACTCAAAAAATAAATAATTACAGCTAAAGAATTTTTTAATCATACAAGAATATTTCAAACAAGTTAAAAAATGTATATATTTAGATAAGAAAAAGTCATTTTTTAGGAAAATATCAAAAGTCTCTCAAGCACAAAAAAACCCGAATAACCATTAGCCATTAAAGAAATTGTAAATTTTTTTTAACGTTTGTTTATTTTTGAAAGAGAGTGTATGTGAGGGAGGGGCATAGAGAGAGGGAGACACAGAACCTGAAGCAGGATCCAGGCTCTGAGCTGTCAGCATAGAGCCCAACATGGGGCTTGAACTAGTGAACTGGAAGATAATGACCCGAGCCAAAGTCAGATGCCTAACCAACTAAGCCACCCAGGTGCCCCAAAAGAAATTGCATTTTAAAGTCTACCTTGACTCCCACCCCTCCAAAAAAAATTAACAGAGGCGAAAAACTTAGAGACTGCATCCCATAATTTTGAAAAATTACAGAAAACTGACATAATTTTATCTTTTCTGCCAAGATCTTAACATTTAATTTTCTTTCACTTATAGAGAAGATATGATTTGAAATGGAAAATCAAGCCACTGATTTTGTTTGTTGGTATTGAGATAAGGGCAATGGAAAAAAATACAGTTTTGTTAGCTTATGAGAACTTGTTTCTTTGAATGGTTAGATATTATAGAGGGTTAGACACTTTCATGGATATTGAGTTTCAGGTGTTTATTTCTTTGGATCATGGGCAGAGTTTTACAGATCAAAGACACCCCCCTTACTTCACCCTCAAGTTTTCTAACTCTTGATGATTGGTTGGGGCAGATTGGGCACCTTGTTTTCCCTCTAATTATATTCTTCTCTATGGTCACACTAACAATGATCCCACATAGTTTGTAATCACTGCACTCCCTACTATCAACCAAAATAGCATGGTAGAAATTTCAGTTGGGATTACAATCCAAAGCCTAAATTTAAAAGACATCAATCCCCTATGATGACTATATAAATGTTTCTAATCTTCTCTGCAGTATTGTAAGCATCAATAAATAGAAAAATGGAGGGGGAATCTCCAAAATATGCTTGTCAGAAAGTATAAGCTCAAAATACCTAACATTAGTCTGTCAGAGGTTCAAAAATAAGAATTTTACCAACTTACTGTTAATTTTACCTTTATCATATCAATCTTACTGTTGGTGTCATTATTTAGAAACTAGTGTCTAAGAGTAGAAGTGTTATTTATTCACTGATTCAAGAAAGGTATAAAGAATGGGAGGAGATATTTGCAAATGATATTTCTGATAAAGGTTTAGTATCCAAAATATATAAAGAATGTATACAGCACCAAAAAACCAAATATTCCAGTTAAAAAATGAACAGAAAACATGAACAGACATTTCATCAAAGACATACAGGTGGCCAACCAACACATGAAAAGACATTCAACATCACTCATCAGGGAAATGCAAATCAAAACCACAATGAAATATCACCTCACACCTGTGAGAATGGCTAAAATGAAAGATTCCACTACTGGGTATTTAACAAAGAACACAGAAACACTAATATGAAAAGATATGCACCCCTATGTTAACTGCAGCATTATTTACAATAGCCAAACATGGAAGCAAAATGTCCATCAACAGATGAACAGATAAAGTGATATGCACACACACACACACACACACACACACACACACACACACAAACACACACACACACACACACACAATGGAATAGTACTCAGCCATAAAAGACAACGATATCTTGCCATTGGAAACCACATGGATGGATCTACAAAGTATGATGTTAAGTGAAATATGTCAGCTGGAAAAAACAAATACCACACAACTTCACCCATATGTGGAATTTAAGAAACAAAACAAATGAACAAAGACAAAAAAGAGACAAACCAAAAAAGACTCTTAACTACAGAGAACAAACAGATGGTTACCAGAGGGTAGGAACGTGTGGGGACAGGCTAAATAGGTGACGAGTTTAAGAGTGTGCTTATGATGAGCACTGAGTAAAAATATGGAATTGTTGGATCACTATATTGTACACGTGAAACTAACTTAACACTCACTGTATATTAATTATACTGGAATTAAAAAAAATAAAAGAAACATTATCAGGAATCTATGTACTGACACTAGAACAGTCTAATTAACTGGTCCACATGGTTTTACACTCCAATTTTAGCAAACTACTAAGGAACAAATAATGTCTATCTCCAACTTTTCAATTAACACAAAAGAACAAAATACATTCAATTCTATGAGGTAATTTAATTTTGCTGACAAAAATGAAATCAACAGTTCTGACTCTCTATTATCAAAAAGTCTATTAAATCTTACTTCTAAGACATTAGAATCATATACTGTAGGAACCTCCTTTTCCTCCAGAATCAAGTTTCTACATTGAGCACACATTCCCCATTTTAACATTGCTTGCCTCTTACCACCTAATCACTTAGTCTCCATGGAAGAAGGGACTCAGGAGATCTGGAGAATGTCCTAAGCACACCCAGCTAAGTAATGCCTCTCTCCCAGTCTACTGTGTGATCCAGCTAGGTAGCTTCCTGTAGGAAGCACACATTCTGCTCTGTTCTACTGTGTAGTTAAGTCTGTTCTTTGTTAAGCTCTGCCTCAGAGGGAAGCCTATGACTGTCCACTAACCATTGTGACAGAAGGGTAAATCAAATTCTTGAGCTCTTAGGAAGCCTGTATATATTCAATGTTTTGATCTGTTTGACTTCTTTATCTCTATTACTTGGCTGACAGCTCAGGAAAGAAGCGTGGCATATAATTTATTAGCTCTTTCACACTCTAACTTCAGAATCTAAAAATATTACTGAGAGTAAAATGTATTGACTATTAATTACGTTCCCTCTTCTTAGCCTATTTGACCATACTATTTCTTCCATCTGAAATAACATTTTGCCCCTTTTTAGTCAGGTTAGTATCTATTCTCTTTAACTTACTTTAACAACTTCTTCCAAAAAGATTTCCCTCACAAGTTGCCTCCCAATAAACCCTTCATGACCCCATCATATAAATTTAGTATACCATATTGCCACATTGTATTTATTTGTATTCTACCCTACACAATAAGCTCTTAAGATATAGGTATCCTCAGAAGTCCAAGCCCTTGGTCTAGCACATGGCTGAATGAATCAAAGGAAGATGAGAAATCAGAGGAGACCTCAAAGAAAACATCTAAAAACTACCTCAAAAACTGCAGAAATGTTTTTCTCTCCACACACAAAAAAATGGCAATTAAGTTTATGACAACAATCAGAAAAAAAATTATAGCTAATTTTTAGGAAATTAGCTATTTGTTGAACAATTACATTGTTAAGGAAATTAAAAAAGGCTTTTTGTTAGACTTCTTTAGTTAAAACTATGCCTATCCAAAAAAAAATGTTGATTTTTAATTTTTTCTTAAGAATATCCCTTAAAGTTCTATTATCTGTTTAGAGCATGCCAACAACTAAGAAGAGAATGCAGGTATATTAGTCATCAGATACTAATTGAAAAAAATTTTTTCCCATCACTAATTTGACTCCATGTCCTATTGGTATTTGTGAAGATACATGGAGATATCTAAATTAAAAATTAGTATAAATACTGAATTAAATAATTTCCTTATGCCAAAATGTAATTAAAATGCATTCCCACACATTCCGAAAAATCATAATTTAAATATAAATAGACTTTGCTGGCATTTGAAATCACCTTATTCCTATGGAACTCCCTAGTTAGCTTTCCAAAATTCAGTATTTGATAATTCTCTGTATTTTCTGGAAACATTATAACAGATCCAGTTTCTTAACCCAAAATGTAAAGACAGGATGAAGCAAGTATAATAAATATTGCTAGATGTAAGGTACAAGTAAGGTACAAGTATCTCCAAAAGTTCTCCGTAGGTATAATTTTCCTCAATCCTATATGTATATGGTCACCTTCCTATAAAGTCCTTTTTTTTTTTCTAGTTTTTATTTACATTCCAGTTAATTAACACATAGTGTAATATTAGTTTCAGGTATATTTTTGCTACCATGTTTAATTATATTCTCATTTTTTAATTATTTCAGCAAATGTAGAAAAACAAATAAGTTTATTCAATTGTGCTTACAGGTTTTGGGATTCCTGGCTTACTGAAGAAACAGATTCCAAGCACTTTACTGGAGTAGGAGTTCTTTCTGATTGCAAACTTGTCTAAAATATAACAGATTAATTTACATTATTTATTACTCGTAAGATCTCATGATACGTTTTTATAGTTGATCCTTAATGTAACTAAAATTAAATCACTTTCAACTTTTAAGCTATTTGGCTTTTAATTAAATGTTATGCAAAATATTTTATAAATGAAGCATATAAATGTGAGGAAAAAAGGCTTATTAGTCCACTGATACATACTACATTTGACTCTTGCAACATTATCTCCAGTGTCCATAACAAAACCCCAGCTGTCTATAAAAGTTGCTCAGAAACAGCTTCCAAAGGATGTCAGTTTATGCAAAGATAGTTTATCTAAAGGCTCTCCTGCAAGAAAAGACTTTGAAATGTAGTTAGGTCCTAGAACTTTGTCTTAGTGGGAGATGAGGTACAGGTATCCTGTACCAAATTAAAAAGCATTCTGTTCCCTAAAGTACTGTGATACTAAAGAAGGCATATTTGTGCCAGTAAAAGATTTTAACTGCATTATGATAATACTATAGTGACTATATTTGAAGTAAAGATTTTCAGGGGGAAGGAAAAGCTTAAAAATTCTTACCTTCTTCCATGCTTTTGCTATAGACTCATGCAAACTATAAGGAATTAACACCTGTAAGCCTTCACATGTACCATATATTTGACGACACACAGAAATAAAAGCTCCTTTAACCACAGGCAACATTTCCGAACCAGAAAAAATAGAAATGTCTTCATCAAGAAGTTTTTTCGAAAACTGGGCAATTATATGAGCACCTGTAGAACTAAAACATGATACTAAAGTTATTCCAAGGTTATAAATCATCACCTCATCAAGTACTACCAAAAAAGTAGAATTGTCTCATAAACTTTGCATTTGCTTGGCTTCCCATTTAGTCCTCTAGCTTTTCTTGGACATGTCAATATTCCTGTTCCCACCTATGTACAGATGGGTGTCTAATAATTAGCAGTTTCAGGAGACTAGAAGGAAAGAACATATAGATAGGGAAAAGCAAAACTATACACTTAAACAGGTTATTGACACCATGGGTCCCGGGCCATATGGAACTTCACTTGATTATAGTGAAAACAAAATCCTGAGTTCCCCTGCCATTAATAGGATGTAGCTCCTGTATTTCAGAATCTCGGACACATTAATAGTAATAACAGATAAGGAAAACATAGTAAATGTTTAATATGCCAAGTACTGTTCTAAATATTTCAAATGTATTAATCCATTTAATCCTCACAATAACCCTATAAACTATACTCTTCATTTTTTAAACAGATAAGCAAATAAAGTTAAGGCTTACAGGAATTAAATAACTTGAACAATACCACAAGGCTTGTCAGAGGTGGAGCCAGGCCTCAAACCCAGGATATCTGGCTCCACAGCAGCACACGTTTATAGTCTTTCTACTTTAGGATAGGGCCTTCCATGTACCCCTCCATACATCTTCAACAGTTACCAACATTTTGCCAGTCTTGTTTTATATATCCTGACCTCCCCCTCTGCCCACCTCTACTGAAATATTAAATGCTACATCCCAGACATCATTTTACCTAGTGTACATCTTTTTTTTTTTTTTCAACGTTTTTTATTTATTTTTGGGACAGAGAGAGACAGAGCATGAACGGGGGAGGGGCAGAGAGAGAGGGAGACACAGAATCGGAAACAGGCTCCAGGCTCTGAGCCATCAGCCCAGAGCCCGACGCGGGGCTCGAACTCCCGGACCGCGAGATCGTGACCTGGCTGAAGTCGGACGCTTAACCGACTGCGCCACCCAGGTGCCCCTAGTGTACATCTTTAACTGATAAAGGTTTCTGTGTTATGTGCCAATACCCCACCAAACTATGATTCTTTAATCTATCTGATAGTCCACCCATATCAAGATTTTCCTAATTGTCGTAAGGTTGTCCTTATAACAGATTTGTATAAATCAAAATTCAAACAAGTTTCATGGAGTGCATGAAGTTATTGTATTATTTAGGCTCCCTCTTTCTCTCTTTTTTTTTTTTTTTTTTTTTTTTTTTTTTTTTTTTTTTTTTTTACCTATGCCAATGATTTGGAGAAATGAAGTTTTTTTTTCCTATCCATACTATTATTTGGATAACTGCTTCATCATGGTGTCATTTAATGTGTTCCTCTACTTCCCCATAATTTCCGTAAGTTGATAATTATATCTAGAGGCTTAAGGTTCAATTTCTTTTTTTCTCGGAAAAAATAACTTTATAGGTGGCTGCTACTGTGTACCTCCAACTGCATCATGAGACACATATTGTTGTCCTAATTTTGGTGGTGCTAAAAATCAACCGGTCAGATGGTAGGAGCCTGAGCTCTCCAGTAGGAAGTCCTCCTCTCATCAAGCCATTCACCTAATGGTTTTAGCATCAATTCAGGATAATTTCCTAAATGAACTATTTCATTAGGAATTACCAAATGGTGATTTCTAATTATCTTGCATTTATTAACTAAAAGCTTTTTATGAAGAATTTTATCTTCAGTAACTTAATAGTTATATTAAAATACAATTGGTACAAGAAAGAATAAAAAAACATGTTTGAATTTTTTTAATCAATTTACAAAATGAGTTGGTGTCCTCACAACTTCAATGGGTAATTGACGAGGTTTTCTTTAATTTTAGTATGTTTTTTATTTTTTTTTTTTTTAAATTTTT